GGTGCCTCCCTTTAGCCCCCCCCCCCCCCCGAACGAAACTTAGCCCCCGGTGAAACTGAGACCAAAAATCCCCCCGCCTATGAGGTTTGAGGGTGGAATAGTCGAGATAGGGTTGCCTCTTGTGGCATGGAGCTATAAAGCTGCTGTACGAGTGTAGAGTATCGAGGTTGTTCATGCGGTACCGTATATTCTGTAAGCTTGTGGGCTTTGGTCCTAGAGTGCACATGCTATTAGATATCCGCTGAACACTGGATAGTTGGAACGTCCTAGAGCAAAAAAATACTTGTGGACTACTCTATCTGGAATTTCCCCACCTGGACTATGTAACAGCAGATGGTCCTCTTCAGTGTATCACACGCGAAGCGAAGCATTCACTGTGTGTCCTCCTTTGCACGAGCGCGCACGTATCGATGCCCCATTGAGGTACCTGAACCATACTCGTGCTTGCTGAATGTGAAATGTTTGGTTAGCCGGGATGCCCTATCAACCCATAGCAAGGATAATGACCAGAGCTCCTGGTTCATGCTGGTGAAACGTAGCCTGGGCCGGCGAAAACCCGGCATATAGCTCCGTCTGTAGGGATGCGAGGCCTATCGTCCTACACGGCTTCGGCATGCATTTACAGGAGAACACCTCTCGCATCGCCCCCAAACCAGTGGTGGTCAACATGGTATATTTATAACAGCTAGAGGCATACAAGGCATGAGTACAGCCCCCCCGACGAAACCAAACTGGTTTTTGACGACATTTTTTACCCGAAGTATCTACATAAGAACCCAGGTGCCCCGTATTCGATTCGTCACGTCGCGTCGACGAAACCAAAACTGCGTTTTGACGACTTTTTGTTTTTTCACCCGAACTATTTCAACAAATCCAGGTGCTCCTTATTCGATTCGTCATAAAAATCAACAACTTTTTTTTGACGACATTTATTTAACCCGAACTACTTCAACAAATCCAGGTGCTCCTTATTCGATTCGTCATAAAAATCAACTTTTTTTTGACGACATTTATTTAACCCGAACTACTTTAACAAATCCAGGTGCTCCTTATTCGATTCGTCACCTCGAGAACGGCCACCTCCAGAGAGGTCTTCCGCCTGGCGGCCGCCGCCGCGGAGAACGGCGAGCCCCTGGCTATCGCGCCGGCGGCCAAGGGGTTCGTGTCGAGCGTGCAGCGCGCGCTTCGGGACAGGGGCGCCCTGCTGGAGTCGCTGGAGGAGCTGCCGGTGCAGAAGACGAAGGTCGAGATCGACCCCCAGTTTTTGAGTCAGGTGTGTGATGCGCGCGCGATTCATTTTTTTTCTTTGTGTAGGTTAATTTTGCGTGCGTGTGTCGTGTTTTTTGGGGAGAGACTGCAGCCTGAGTGGTGATGTGTGGCCCTCGTGCTGTTTTACTCGAAGGTACGTACATTTTTGGTTTTGTCGTTATTCATGGGGTACCGGTCGCCCCGGTGGTCTAGTTGGTATCCTCGAAACCAGGGGTTCGAATCCCGGCGTAAGCGAGCTTTTCTTGCAAAGTGAGTTTTTCTCTCGCTTTCACTCGTGGCCTAGTGGATAGCGCTAGTTCGTGTGAACAGAGGGACGAAGGTGCTGAACTCTTTTCGCGTTAAAAATCGAAGGCAACAAGTACCGCACGAGGGGATGGTAGAGAGGGGTTCTTCTGTGTGACCACGGGTTGGAGTACACGGCACTATTATATATAATAGTGCTGTGAGCGCTGATTTGAAATGGGGTTGGTAGCTCGTTCGCTGGCAAGCTCTCTCTTTTCTTCTCTCTCTCTCTCGTTCTCTCTCTCTCGTTCTCTCTCTCTCTCTCTCTCTCTCTCCTTTCGTTTGAGTTTGTTGTCGCCTTCATGTACACGTACACAAGAACAACCGACCAGCTGGATCGCCCTGAAGTGCCATAAATAATCGCGGGCTGAAACGGAAGGGCACAAAGATCAAATATCTCCTGAATCTCATGCTGACGTCCGTCCTATCACATAGTTTAACAGCAGTGCCGAATAGCCATGGTAACGGTAACACATCATCATACGGCTACATACCTCCAAGTGCCACGAACTCAGGCACTACCTACTCACTACCTACGCGTCTTCGCATATGACGGCTCCTTGATTTCGTCATCCTCCTCACTAAATTCGCGCTCGCTTGGCTGCCCACTGCTTTCTGTGCCGCCGCCTGCCTTACCCACCGACACCCGGTCACGCGGACAAACCGACGACGATACCGACGGCCATGAAAAAGGTGGAGGGTATGTGCCAGTTCGACATGGTGGCGAGCTTGAGGGAGGCAGGGGTTTCTTTGGACGAGCACGCCAGGGTAAGTGCGTGAGTCAGGCAGCGAGGGGTGAGCCACCACCGAAGGGGGCACGCGGACCAATGAACACACGTAAGAGTAGTGTGAACACACACGACTGGAACGACTGTGTTTATTGGTCAGCAGCCGGTTAGAGCCAGCGATAGGAAAGCACACGAGGAATGCTGCTATTTCCGCGTGTTTTGCTTGAGTGATATGTACTGGGTGATGGCATAATATACATATTTAACACCATGGCCACTCTCTTACCCCCACGTTTAAGCACGGTGTCAGTATGCATACAGTAGTGCTTCCGACCTCCTACCGATAGCGGCAGTGCACAGGGGAGTTCAAAAGAGAGAGGCCTTAAGACTCGACTAAGACCTCTGCTGCTGTAGTACAACATCAACATGGCGGTGTCCTTCATCATGTTTTCTTCGCAGACCCCCCCGTCGGCGAGCACCCGTGTCTTACCTCCTTCTCAGTAATTGAATACCGAAGCACGTACGACAATGCTGTGTCGAAAAATGTATGATGATAATATGTAAGTAATGAAAATAAACCCGAGTGCATTTCGGCGCTACGATAGAACGAGGAGCTACGGGGCGTGGTGGTGACGCGGCTGCTGGAGGAGATGTTCAACCTGGTCGGGCTCCCGATGCTGCCGCCGCCGCCCCAGCTCGTGCTCGCGATGCCGCGCCCGAACGACATCCTGCCCTCGAGGTGTGTTGGTTTGTTTTCTTTTGTGTTTTTGCTCTCTCCGCGAAGGACAATGTTGGGGTTCATCTTTGTTTCTTGCTCTTTCGTGTCGTCGTAACCCCGCCCCTGCCGTGCGCTGCACCGTACGTGGGTTTTCGGTGAGGATTTGGTAGGGATCGCTCATCCGCGGTTCATCCTTTGTCCCGCCCTTGTCCCGTCCGGTTTCCGTCCCGTGCCATTCATGTCCCGTCCCGTCATGTCCTCGTCCCGTCCTTCCCGCCCCCGCCCGTCCCGTCCCGTTCCGTCCCTCTGCCGCACATGTAGTGTGGATCCCATGCCGGATTTATGCGAGGAGGATAGAGGGGAGCTGTCGTCTCACCGCTTCTGCTCCGAGGCGAGCCGGGTCATGGCCAACGTGCTTGCCCGGTGCATCCGGTACACGGAGAAGTGCGACGAGCAGATGACGGCCCGCATGCAACGGAAAAACCGGCAGGTGAATGGAAGGGAAAAAATACGGGAACCCTCGTTTTGAGCGGGGTCCACTCGTTTAAGGATATGCCAAGGTTTTGGCGGGGAGATCGGGGAGGAGGATTGCAGTTCTGCGCGCTTGGGTGCGGGGGGGTGGGGCATGTGTGCTAGTTTAGTGGAGTACATATAACCTTTTTGTCCTACGCGGTGTGGTTCCTTTTTTGGGAGACCGTCGCTTGCCTAGGCCGCGTACGTTTTGCTCAGAGGCTCGTCGACTGAACAGCCCGGTGAAACAATGGTGCACTGCTGTTTTTGTTTTCCTCTCGGATTGATGTACGTTGAAACCGTACGTGCCTGCTGTACACCATGCCCGTGCACTTCGCGCCCCCCCCCCCCCCCCCCCCC